TTTATTAAATAAAATTTTAAATTATTATTTATAATAATTTTTAAATAAATTTTTAAATAATTCAAATGAATAACTTTCTCAAAGTTACATAAATATTACTTTTAAAAATTAATTTTTAAATTTCTCTCAATCATTTATAGATATATAAATAAAAGTTTACTTCTTAAAAATTTACTTTTTAAAATTTACCAATCACCTTCAAAATCCATAGATGCCTCTTATTGACTTCTTCATTGATTTGCTTGCATTTGAAAGTTGTCTCTACTCCTCAGCTACCCCAATTATAAGAAAGAGTGAGGTTTGTTATCAGATGTCCACCTTTTATAATTTCTTTTTCTGTCAAGCACGCAGGTATGCTATCTACTTCTTCAATCTTGATATCCTCTTATGTTCTTTGTTGAGAGTTCATATGCGCATTTACATATATTCTACGTAAGTATAGCATGGACTAAACATATCTTGCGCTTAAATGAAGGGGTCATTAGCCAAATCGTTCTTACTGAAGTTCGTCTGTGTTTAACAGCTAGTGGCTTGAGTTCCTGAACATCATCTGTTGAAGTTTGTAAGTATGGTTAATTATTTAATGTTTGTTTTTCAATTTATTATTATGATTCTTAAATCCCTTCTCTCCTCTGATCTTCTATCATTTGGATAACTTAAAATATTAAATGCATTAAAAGTGAAAAGTAATGGAAAAGGGTTTTGTCTCCCAAATCAAATATACCCTTAGATGTTAATGTTAAAATTCGCCTTAAATGAAATTTAATTGCACATCTTTCAAAAGTTTGAGAACAATATTGCATGTCTCCTCTTCTCAATCCACGTGGTATTTTTTTATTTGTTTTAATAATACAACTAATAAAAGATACTTACTGATCAAAAACTCATGTCAACTTCTTAATTACAGGTTAAAAATGAGACCCACTCAATGACATTCAAGATTAATGTTTATTTCTCTTAATTAAAATAAAGTCGGTCCCACTCACTCTTACCTTATTTGATTAAAATTAATAAAAATTCTCGGACCGCGCCTCTAATTTAACTTTTGCCTCATGTGAAATTATAATCTTGCCCCCTTCATCTCTTCATTCCCAAATCGAAGATTCAGGAAAGTGAAATCCAACAAGCAACCAAATTCAAAACCATACTCATTTGTCATTCAAGCCTATACTTTAATTGTCAATCACAACTGAGTGGAAAGAAACAAAAATCTAAATTAATTGTTGAAGCTCATAGATTGAACAACCTTCAACAAATCCAAATGTGAATCCAAAAAATTTGATAAAACTTTCAAATTCATCCTTTAAAAAATATCAATACTATATATTTACTTTTCAAAAAAATAAATAAATTATTATTTTAAATTATAAATTAATACAAATTACTTTTTTTTAAGAAAGAATGTCAAAATTTTGTTTATCATATTAGTATTTTTTAATAAAAAATATTAAAATAAAAATAATTTATATTAATTTATAATTTGAACAATTTATCTTATCATATTTTTTAGGGATAGATAGATGTGTCTTTATCTATATTTTTTTAGGGTAAATTTGGAGGGTTTTGCCAAAAAAAATTTGGGTTTGTGAATCCCTCAAACGAATCTAAAGATTAACCGGTAGCTTCGGAGGAAATGAAGGAGAGGAGGGCAGAAGAATTTGAACAAAATTCAGATAGGTTAAATGGGAACTCAAATTCGAGTTCATTTGAATCCAATTCATCTAGGTTCCACACGAACCCAGATTCGGGTGGGTTCATTAATCCAAATCTGCTGCGTTTGATAAAAGGGGCTGCACAAATTGGAGAAGGTGGAAGGGAGGGGTCTGAAGAACAAATTCGTAAGAACCCAGAATTCTTGGTTTTAAAACCCACAAATCTAGGTTTGTACGAACCTAGATCTGGGAAGAATGAGGAGAGGAAGGGAGAAAAGGGAAAGAATGAAAAGAAAAAGAAAGAGATTCGAGAAGGTAGAAGGGAGAAAGTGCCGGCGAAAATAGAGGGAGGGAGAGGAAGAGCTGAATGATGGAGTTGAGGAACATGAATGGAGAAAGAGAAAGGGATCGGGGGAAGAAGACGAAGATGATAGGGATATAAGTGTAATTTTAAAAATATTTTTAATACTAAATAATTGTCATGTGTTTGGAAATTTGACTTG